GTGAGGGAAATCCTAGGAAACGCACACCTTCATTTCTTTGACTGTGTTTTGAGTATCACATCTTCATGGGATATCAATAAGAAATTAAAATCCTCCATATCATTCTCATATTTTGATTATCATGAGGAGATACAACATGCAAAAATAAGCAGGGGGAAGAGATTTATGAACCTCTGTGTGTCAGTCACATGGAGCTTCAGCAACACTCAACACATCAGTTTGCTCATTATATCTAATCTTAACTTGTGTGTTTGGGGCATGAATCTCACATGACTGAAGTAGTCACATGGGGAACAACTGAGGTCAGTCAGGAAGCCATTATTGCTGACTTGGTCCACTTGATTCAGAAGGAGCCCACACATTTATCAACTACAAAAAAGTCCTTTCCCTTGAAAATTAATAAGTATTGAAATGTCATATATAACCTCTGCCTCAATCAGTTTCCATTCACTCCAGCATTCATGACCATTTTAAGTTCTATGACAGTGGCAGCATGGCTGATTTTTTAAAACAATTGCTTCTTTATTTACTAACCAATATTATACTGTAAAGAAGAGCTTTCCCTTTTCTCATTATGTCTATTATTTACACACACACACACACACACACACACACACACACACACACCGTAGTAGCTGTGTGAACTCACGCATTTACAGATCCATCATATTCTAGTGTATGACTGTCATTTTGATACTTCCTCCTAATTTGACTAAGCCGGTTCTTTATTGTGTTTCTATTCTGGTCCCTTTTGTGCTAAGAGCAACTCTTCAGCAAATCTTACAAAAGCTTCGAAGGGCTCCTCCTTGCCTCATAATAAAATCTTGACTCACTGAACAGGACTGACCTGTCTCTAACTTTCCAACTGGTGCTCATTCTATGAGGAAGGCTTGTGAGCAGCCCCTCTACTCCAGTCCTGGGTTACCTGTCACTCCTGGTTCCTTCCCAAGTTGTCTGAGATCCTGCTCTCATAACTCCTTACACCTCCCTTTCCTGTTTATTTGTTCATTTCTCTTCAGTGTTGTTGTCCTGTCCCCAGAACTCAATAGAGTCTTTCAAGGCAGAGGAAGTTCTTAGTCAATATTTGTTTAATTGATGGGCAACGAGTAGCTCAAAACAATTAGAATTTATGTTTTGCTTTGAGATAGGGCCTCTGTGGTGGTATTGCGTTCCCCAAAATATTGTGTACCTTAATAAACTTATCTGGGGTCAGAGAACATGCAGCCACTAGATACAGAGGCTAGAAAATGGTGGCACTCACTAGAACATACAGTCACTAGATACAGAGGCTAGAAAATGGTGGCACTCACTAGAACATACAGTCACTAGATACAGAGGCTAGAAAATGGTGGCACTCACACCTTTAATCCTAGCATTCCAGAGACAGAAATCCCTCTGGATCTCTGTGAGTTCAAGGCCGCATTGGAAACAGTCAGGCATGGTGACTCACACCTTTAATCCCAGAAAGCAGCCTTTAATCCCAGGGAGTGGTGGTAGAAAGCAGAAAGGTTTATAAGGCGTGAGGACCAGAAACTAGAAGCATTTGCCTGGTTAAGTGTTTGGCTGGTTAAGCTTTCAGGCTTCTAGCAGCAGTTCAGCTGAGAGCCATTGGGATGAGGACACAGAAGCTTCCAGTCTGAGGAGACAAGACCAGCTGAGGATCCGGCGAGGTGAGATAGCTGTGGCTTGTTCTGTCTCTCTGATCTACCAGCATTGACCCCAATAACTGGCCTCGGGTTTGATTTTTATTAATAAGACTCTCTAAGATTCATGATAAAGGCCTCATTCTGTAGCCCAGGTTGTCCTTGAACTTTCAAACAGCAAAATCTAGACTGGCCTCAAACTTGGGATCTTCCTCCCTCAATCCTTTGAGTGTTGTGATTACAGGAATGGGCCACCATGCCTAGATTAGAAATTAAAAGCCTTAGGCTGGGCCTGGTAGGCCATGCCTTTAATTCCAACACTTGGGAGGCAGAGGTAAGTGGATCTTTGAGTCGGAGGCCAGCCTGGTCTATAGAGTGAGTTCCAGGACAGCCAAGGCTACACAGAGAAACCCTGTCTAGAAAAACAAAGCAAAATGTTTGAACATAATTACACTGAATGGGTGGACAGTGTTTCAACTAGAAGACACAGGTTATTAAATGAGAATCTCACTACAATACACGGGATGCCTTCTTATGAGTTATTGGTTAGGGAGGCCCAAAGGTCTGCAAAGCAGCATAGGTAACTGTCATTGCCCTTGGTTACCCAATATAATTGCAAGGTAAGACCCCATTGCTGAAGGCACCATACAGTTTGGCTGCAGGACATAGAGAAATCAATGTTAAACCACCATGGAAACTCCCTCTTAGTGGGCTAGGGTTCTATGCAGGCTTCTGGGGGAGGAAAGACATCAAGATCTTACCTAGCACTGGAACTTGCCTGCTGCAATAATAACTTACCAAGCAAGAGATGCCCACTAGTACAACAGTGGCATAGCTCTTAGGGGTGACTCACAACTTTCTGATTGGATTTGAGCTCTATTCCTGTAGAGACAATTTCATGCCTGTACTACAATGCTCGGTGTCTCCTGTGCCTGGGGAGATCATAGGCCATGTGCTTGAATCTGCAATTATTAGTTTGCCAAATGGCCACGCTGTCAAATTAACTTGTGAATATTTATGTTTCTACCCGTAAGCGTGGAATTTTTTTTCCTGTCTGTCTGTCTCTCTATTTTTATATTTTCCCCTCCATGCTAGGAATGGAAGTCAGGACCTTCCATATGCCAGGCAAGCACTCTGTCACTGAGCCACATCCCAGGTGGCATGGTTTTATAGGAAAAACCACATGTTAAACACTGACTTGACTTTCAGTAAACTGCACTATATAGAGTGTACAGGCTATGCTTTATTCCAGTGTAGATCCAGTTCCTCACCCAATGTCTTAAGAATGCTTAGTATACTAATGTAATTGGAAAGTTAGGGTGTCTCATCGTACAGGGTAGGAAAGGTAAGGGATGGGGCTGAAATAGGCTATTTTCACTAGTTTGTGAAAGGCCTTCTTTCTATGAAATAGTGCTAGAATGTTATCCTGTAGGAAAGACAAAAGGAGCCATAGAGATCTTTATTTTAAAAAATGGAGATGTATTTGAAGGGAATGCCATTGGCACTCTGGATAGTGTTCCAGTTGCTTTGCTCTGACAACAAATACCCTGAGGTATAACAACAGGCAGAACTACAGAGAAGGGAAAGGTTTTAATAGTATTAATGTTGTATATGCTTTCCAGGACTAGAGGAAATCTCGCTCTTATGCAGTTTATTATCTTTAGAAACACATCTATGAATAGGGCACAGGAGTGCCAGGAGGTAGGAGGCAAGAGAATTAATGTGAGTTGAAATCCAGCCTGTGTGAAATAGTGAGATCTGGTCTTTGAATAAATGTCTTAGTTAGGGTTTCTATTGCTGTGAGAGACACCACGACCATGGCAACTCTTATAAAGGAAAACATTTAATTGGGGGTGGATTACAGTTCAGAGGTTTGTTCATTGTCATCAAGGCAGGAAGCATGTCGGGAAGCAGGCAGACATGGTGCTGGAGAGGTAGCTGAGAGTTCTACATACGGATCAGCAGAGGTATCGCTATTCTCAATTCTCTGGGAAGGGGCAAGACTAAGTTTTTTGCTCATTCGAATCACTCTTGTCTCACACTGAGTTCCAGGAAGCTGTAGAGGGGTGCCGGACTGTATCCGAGGTCCTGGATACAGATGGTCTGGAGAGAGGGGCTTTCGCTTTCAGGATGCAGCCAGCCTGGGATGCCCCACAGGCTAGCAGGAAGTGAGAGTGATGCTGAGCCTGGCTTGAGCATTTGAAACCTAAAAGCCCACCCCCAGTGACACAATTCCTCCAACAAGGCTACTTCTGCTCTAACAAGGCCACATCTCCCAGTAGTGCACTCCCTATGAGCCTGTGGAGGCCATGTTCATTCAAACCACCACAAGAAATGGGTCTACGAGTACAGTTAACTTGCAACCATTCTTAAAGCTGGTAGAGTGAAACAAGACATCACAAAAGGGGTGGGTGAGATGGCTCAGTAGGTAAAGGCACTTGCTCTTAAGTCCAAACACCAGAGTTTGAGCCGCAAGACCCACAGGGCAGAAGAGAACAAACTCCCACAAAAAGACACAATACATGAGAGTTCAAGAAGCCTTCCAAAATGTAGACTCTTCAACACTTGATTACTATTCCTGGAAACCAATGAGTAGAGCAGGTAGACGGTAACTGTGGATATAGTTCCAAAAGAGCCTTTTCAATGAGGAAATATAGAAAGTATCCAAGTGGCGCACGAATGCAGAAAAGTAGGCAGCAACTTCTAAGTAAATGCAACATCCTTTTGGTTTTTTTACTTTTTAAGAAAATTGACAAGGCCAAGGTATCGTTATTCTCAATTCTCTGGTAAGGGACAAGACTAGGTGTTTTTGCTCATCCGAATCACTCTTGTCTCACACTGAGTTCCTGGAAGCTGTAGAGGAGTGCCGACCGTGTCTGAGGTCCTGGATACAGAGGATCTGGAGAGAGGGGCTTTCGCTTTCAGGACGCAGCCAGCCTGGGAGGCCCCACAGGCTAGCTAGCACCGGCTTCCCCACAGGCTAGCTAGCACTGGCTTAGATGCACACTTACTAGGCAGCGCTAGCTGCAACCTCTGGGGCTCAGGCAGCTACAGGGCGGGGCTTGCAGAATGGGCGGGGAGAGACGGGAGGTGCGGCGCGCGCAGCAGCTCGGGGCGGGGCGGGGCGGGGTCGCCGTCGTACGCGCACGCGCCAATCACAGATGCCGCGAGATGGGTGCTCGCAGAGAGGCTGGGGGAAGTAGAAGGGCGGACTCGAGACCTCTTAGCCAATCACCACGCAGCGCCGCCATGACGCGCGGCTCTCCCGGGCGCCAAACTCCAGTCGGCGGGCCGGGTGGGTAAGGGCGCCGGGGTAGGGCGCGGGGCCGCGCGGGGGTGGGACTTCCGCAGGGCCCCGGAAGTGGGATCTGTGTGTTCTCATGCGAACGGGAAGGAGCGTTGGGGATCTGGAGTCTCGAGGTTGAGACATTTTCGGGCCCGAAAGGGGAAGGATCAGCTGCCGCCGCTGCCAAGCCCGCGCCCCCTCTTCTTTGCTGTCTCCGGCCCGGCCCGGCCGTGCCGCCTCTTCTTGCCGTCTCCCTCCTCGGCCGTCCCCGCGTGTTTTGCGCGGTCGCCGGGCACCGGGGCTGCGGCGACGAGCCCGCGGGCGGCCGGTCGGGCGGGGCGGGCGGCTGACAGGTGAGCGGGCCGTCCTCGGCCACCGACGGGGCGGCCTCCCTCCGCGCCCCGTCCTCGGACCCGCGCCTGCACCAGCCTGTCACTGGGCCGCCATCTTCCCGGAGGGACTGGGCCAGTGGCGGGCAGGGCTGGGCCCGGTCGAGGAGGGACGGCACAGGGCCGGGGCCCGGCGGGGGCCGGCGCTGGGGAGGACCGAGAGAGGGGCAGGGCCATGGAGGGACCGGCAGGGCAGGCCGGACTGTGGCCTGGGCGGCCCAGGTTATCCTGGACCTGGGAGGACCTGCGGGCCGGGGTCGGACCTGACTGACACGGCCCTGGCTGGAGAGGACTGGAGCGAAGTGAGACGTGTGCAGAGTCGTCCCCGAGGCCGCGTCCCCTTGGCCCTTGTGGGTTTGCCCATGCAGCTGAGGAGAATGGGCTGGGGTCGCAGGCCACCAGCGCCCCGAGGTCGAGCGGGCGGGTGCCGGGGACCCGCAGTGCGGCGCCGTGGCCTCGCCCCCCTCGGTCCCGCCGGAGACCGGCCAGACAGCCGCGCTTGCTGCTTCGGGGAGAGATGGCTCATTAGGGAATCGCATTCCTTTAGAACCAGGAAGTTAAGATCCTGTTGCTCGAGTGTGTGTTTGGAATGCTGCTACCTTTTCCTCTTCCTTTGGATAGATTTGAGCAAGGCCGACTTTGAAAGAGTTAAAAAATAAAAATCGAGTGTGAAGACTCATGGGAACAGGCCAGGAACCTCTTACCACCTGCTTCTCCGTGGTGTATAATAGAACATTAAGTTTGTTTCAGAGTTGAGGTCATTGCGTATTGCGACTTTCAGTGACTGTAATCCTGTTTCCCCCTTATTTTTTGGTATTAAGTGGCCTAGAATTTGGACTGACTCGAAATGTGAGAAAATTGCCCGTAGAAAATGATCTCTCAATCTTACTTCTATTTGAGACTGGAACTTTGTCTTAATCATAAACTGAAACTTTGAAGTTTTCCGTAACTGAATAAACAAGAGGGCTTCCCATGGCTGCAGTGGAATTAGTTTGTAGTACACAGTTAACCAAGAAGTTTTTAATAGGGTATTTAGCTACTTTCCTTTTCAAATTGAGGTGAATATTTAAAATGCACTTGTGATTTGTTTTGAGTTGATGTTTGCAAGACCACAAGAGGAAAGAAGAGTGATATTCACTTTTTTGTGTGGTCTGATAGTATATTCAGTGTGCGATTTCCATACTCCCACAACCTGATTGGCTGTCCTTATGTACAGTCAGGGTTAATTTACAGAAGTTGAAATAGTTGTGGCTTTTCTCCGTGCTTAATATACCAAAAGACAGTTTTGTAATCAAGCTGTACAAGAAATAGCTTCAGGAGGTTTGCCGGAGTTGCTAAAGTGAAATGCTTTCTGAAGGTTTACTTTTTTTTAGTTGTATGTTTCCCCTTAAAACTTGCACTAATTAGAAATATATTTCATCTTGTATTTTGGACTACTAATGTGACTCGATGACTTATTTACATGAATAAAAATGGCTTGGCCTCTTAGTCATTAGAAGTTACCTTCTTGGTGGCAGAGTTTCTCATCTATAAAAGCCTCATTAGACTGATGTAACACAAGCATGTGGATGTTGGCTGTTTTGATATTTTTATTGTTACTGAATTGCTGTTTTTAATATTCTACCTTAGAGCTGTCAATTTTAATTTGTTAGTCCCCCCCCCTTGATCATATGTATCTCGAGTAGAAGACAGGTTCTGAAGCAGAATGTAAATTTGGAGAAAGGAGCTATACTATATTTGAGTAGGATTCAGAGAGAAAATAGATGATTATATGGGTGTACAAGTTTGCTAGCATTGATATTACTACATTCTGTAGAAGAATAGCTGAAATTAAGTAGCAGCAATTTTATATTTAATGTTCTGGGGGCTTGCCCATTTTGTTAAAAACAAAACAAAACAAAACCCAAGATTTAAAGAATTGAACTTATTGGCTTCCCTAAATATGTACAGAATTTGACAAAGATACATTTGAACTTTAAGGAAACAAATATTTCACTGTTTTCCTGAAGAAGTCATCACAAAGTTATCTAAAGTGTAATTTTAAAATGCTCAGTGCAAATTTGGACATCAGGTTGTTATTGGTAATTACAATAAATAGTGCCTTCAAGTAGCTGCAACTACTCAGATTTGCAACAAGTTTACAGACTTTTTAGGCTTGGTTGATAGTACCAAGAAATGGCTGACACACTCCTGTCACTGTTGTTTTTGTGTCATGGGGCATTCATACTTCATCCAAATATGAGCTAGGATTATAATCTAGGTCTTACACTTTTAGTGAGGTGTGATGGTCTTAGGGGTTGGGAAAGTGCTGTGTAGGTTAATTGCTGTAAATCCCATTTGCTCTTACCCTAGAATGAAGGCAGAGTTTCTATGTACCTTCCTAACACATGCAGTGCTCTTGTAGATACTCTCAGGTTTAAGGGATATTCCTTCCTTAATTTCAGATTGATAGGAGCAGGAAAATTGCAGCGTCCTTGTGTAATTTCCACCATTGAACCATTTCAACTTTTTTTCTAGTGGGAGGAAGAAAATGCAGCCGTTGAAGCTGAGCCTGTGTTGAAAAGGATTACTGCTGCAATTTGTTTATATTCTTTTTTCATATGAAGTAATCTGGTGCTTTTGTTGTTTTTTTTAAATGAGTTAATTTTAGAGTACACGGTGGGTCCACTATCTGAGGGTTAAATTCATGAGACTTGAGTTTAGTTTAAATGTTTTGCTCTGATTTATTTGGCAGTACAGAGGATTGAACCCTGCTACTTGGTTGTACTAGGCAAGCACTCTACATCTACACCCCTAGCCCATATTTAAAAAAATAAAAACATATATTTTTTTTGTTTGAAGGCAAGAGTCTCACGTAAGTTGCCCACAGGCCTTAAGCTTCCTGTCCTCCTGTCTTAGAGTCTTAGAGTACCTGTGATTACAAGCCTGTACCACCAGGCCAACTAGTTTGCGCTTAATTGTTAGATTTGTTAATGTCTTTGGAGCTGCTGTTCTCTGCAGTTACTTTAATTAGAAATGAATTTTCTTACTAGGGCATGGAATTGGAATACTAAGCCTCTAGATTCCCTTAAGAAAAGGAAGGGGCTATGTGAGATGGCTCAGCCACTAAAGACTCTTGCCGGGCGGGAGGTGGTAGTGCACGCCTTTAATCCCAGCACTCGGGAGGCAGAGCCAGGTGGATCTCCGTGAGTTCGAGGCCAGCCTGGGCTACAGAGTGAGTTCCAGGATAGGCTCCAAAACTACACAGAGAAACCCTGTCTCAAAACCAAAAAAAAAAAAAGACTCTTGTATCAAGCCTGTTGACCAGAGTTCAGCCGCCAGAACCCATATGGTAGGAGAGAACCAACTTCTGCAAGTTATCTTCTAAGCTCTGCACACACAATAAGTAAGTGTGAAAACAGAAACAAAACCAGACAAGAAGGAAGATAAATTCCAACTTGGAAATGTTTTCCCTTAATGTTGTGCCTTACAAGCTGCTTTATTATTCCCATGTATAAATGTCTTCCTTAGGAACTGGGAAAATTATTAGCTTAGCCATGCTTCCTTCCTTTCCATTCCTTGCTCCCATCCCCCCTGCCCCTTTCTCTATGCCTTTATAAAGTTTGTCTTGCACTGCTTTTTTTGTTAAAGCTGACATGACCCCTATTTTAATCATGAAGGATTTGCATTGGAGTGATGCTGCTGATTTCATGATCTCTTTTTTCTTGCCATCCTTATCAGCTTCTGAGGCCTAGGCATTGTGGTATTGAAAATATTTCATACTTAACACAAATGGGAAACATACTGCCTCATTATTTTTTAGAGGGAGCTTAATATTCACTGATGCAAGACTCAGTTATCACTGAAAATATCCTTTTGAAGTTTATATGCTAAGTCTTCCTTAAAGCTTGTTAATCAGGATGTTTCTTATTTGCTTAATTAAAATACTGCTGTATTTGCACAAACTGTTTGTCATCTCCATCCAGATACTGCCTTTCAAGCATATACATCCTGGTTGCTTGGCCCTTCCTAGAAATTATCAGGACTGTCCCAAGCTCCGTGACTAGCCCACTGTGAACTCACTGTGTCTTCATTCCCTGCTCCAAGACCTTCTAGGCTTCCTGTCCTCTATGCTTCCCTTGCCCCACAGTGTTGCTGCCTTGGCTCTTGGTAGTTTTTTGCTTGAAATTGGATGTCCCTCCCCGAGACATTTTTAAAGTTTTGCCCAGTTATTTAATACTGCTAAGATGGCTCTTTAGGAATCATTGCCTCGGTTTCTGAATTTAGACTGAGTGCTTCTCTCTTGCTGCAGCACCCTGAGTGTACCTTCATCCTATTGAGTACACAGTTAACTCAGGGACTTTTTGTAGGGAAGGCCTCTTTTACACTTACAACCTTTTTGTCCTCTTCAAGGCCTGGTGTGATGAGGGATGGAAGCAGGCCTAGGGACGTCTCCCATTCGTGTAAAAGACATTGCTGATCATGTATTTGCCTGTGTCTGTTAACAAAAGCGGACACCTGAAAAGGATACATTACTAAGTTTCATCTAGTGTATAAAGTTACTTTTACCAAGTTTATTGCTGACTTTTCATAGCTGTGTTTAATGGATAAAGTAGATTAGGTACAGTAATTTAACTATGGGACCTCAGATTTTATTGTCTTTCAGTCTTTAAACACATCCCCTCCCCCCCTTTTTTGCTTTCTATATTTTGCTTTAAAATTATATTAACAAACTCAAAGCAATTATAGTATTTCTAGCGTACTTATAATATTCTATTTAAAGTCATGTACTCTGACATTCAGATGCTGGTGACAGCTACATGCTTCCTTGATAGTTATCATATGTATTGTGTCATGTCTGCTCTAGGCTCTCTTTTATTTCCTTTCTTTGCTGTATTTTTTCATCATTCTTATGGCACTATAACATGCCATACACATTATTTATTTGTGGTTTGTTGTCTGTACTCTAAAGTCCATGAAGTATA